CTAGGAGTAAGCTGGCCTCCTCTGCTTGGTGCTTATATGAGGTGTCGCCATATAAGCTACTTGCTTTGTTGTCAATTTTGATTTCCCGTTTAAAAGAGGAACATGAAATTAAATGAAGCAAGATTAGATTAGTTAGGAATTTGTTTTAAAAAGGCAGAAATGAAACCGATAATTCTAGCAAAACATTTTAAAATCCTATTCAACAAAACTACCCCCAAGGGCCAGAATCTTACTCAAGGTCACATAGCCAGTAAGCGACCCAGTTGGAATTTGAACCAGGTCTGCTGGTCTCCAAAGTTCTGATTTTCAGCTTCTGCACTGTAATGGCTCTTTTTAAGGTATGGTTCCAGAGAAGTCCAGAGAAGCAGAGGTTGAAGTTCCAGCACAGAGCACAGCAGGGCCATTAAGGACAACAAGGACCAGGCAGGAAGCAGACAGTCCAGCCAGGCTCACAGGGCTCCCTCCTGCGGACTCCACTCTCCTGGCTACCGTCACTTGTGCTTCTTGTTGGATCTCTCACTGCAGGTACCTGGAAAACGGGAGGTCATCACGGCTTTGTCGTGCTCTGAGGGAGTCCACAGCACAGGTGCCGTGACAGTCCCACAGCATCCACAAGGACCCCGGACAGACAGGGTCACTGCTGGGGTTTTAAGAGGCCTTTAGGAACTCTTTTCTGACAGTGATTAGTATTTTTGCAATAAACAACCCTGAGACTCGGTGAGAAAAACAAATCACTAATAATAATCAGCCAGCCACAGCAGTGGAATATCTATGAACAAGCCATAAGACTGAATCCCTACAGTTGTAGACAGCATGGTCTCTGAACAATCTATTACCTCCTCAGTTTTTTCCATATAAGAGTCATAGTTATCCCCTCCAGAACCCCACAGAACAAATCTATTTCTTCTTCTACATGCCCGGAGACTATGCTCATGCTTCCTCAATCCTAAATCCTCATGTGACATAATTCTGAGTTCCCTCTCCATCTGGGTCACTGTGGCGGAGGGAGATAGCTAAACAAATGAGAGCAACAGAAGGGAGTCAATGCTGTAATGCAGGTGCATAGAGTTACACAAAGGAAAGAGCAGTCAAACCCAACAGAATCCTGTTATATATTTTGTTTCTAGAAAGTAGCCCAAAAGAGCCTTAGTAATTCTGACAACCATCTCGGAATGCCAATCCCTGCCTTCTCCAGCCCTGGAACAACACACCAGTGACTCTTACCTGTGCACTCAGTCCCACCCCGTTCCAAAGTGAATCCTTCGCAAGACAGGTGCACAGTAAAATCCAGCAAGCATGGCTGGAATGAGGCTTCCTGGCCTAAATCTGTTCCATTATTACTGTGGTGGGCCTCCTGAATAACTTGTTCTCTTATTAATTCTTTAAGTCTGTGATACAAGCCCCAGCCTGACAGAAAACATTTCCTGCAAGTTATTTCCTCTGGGGCCTACTACATTTCCCCCTCAACCCATTCAAGACAATGTGGAAATAATGGACAAGGAGTATAGCCATGAGATGGCATTTCTTAAGCATTTAAAGGCTCAGTGACATTCTTTGGTTGCCAATACATCAATTAGTTCATTCATTGATTCAACAGCCACTTTTTACATGCCAAGTACTTGGGAAATAATGGTGAAGAACATATATGGAACCCTACTTTCATGGAGCCTACTGCCTAATAATTGTCAAACTCAAACTGTAGAAATTCAGGCAAAGTGAAAGGTGCTCTGTAAGTCCCCCACCTGGACGTGGGACAATAAAACAGAAAAAAACAAACAAACCAAAAAACCAAAAAACATTTAATTGGAAGAACAACATCATTATAGCTCTGGTGTGGGCCAAGGTGAGATACTGTGGATTGGAACTTCGGGAACTGTCCACATACTGAGGGGAGAAGAGCTTCACCTTGATGTCTAAACCAACAGGACATGAAGTTCACACTTTGTTAGAGTACCCTGCAGTGTTTCTATCCTCTTATGTTTGCCATATATAGATGCCCTCCAGACAATTGTTTACTACCATAGAGTTTTGGGCTCCCTCACCCTCCTGCGTCTCCCTTCAACTGCCCCATCTGGGTAAGCCCCCTACTGTTAACCTTTCCTCCATCCCCTAGACAGTTCAGCTTCTCCAACTTCCACCTTCACTCTCTTCCAGTCCCAAAGCCTGGGCCTTGTCATTGCTCAGAACTACTTCTCCTCTGAAACCATAAACACCACCATCCAAATCTCTAAACACAGCTTCCCATCCTTTTCACTTTCTTACGCTTTCTCCTTCCCCAACCCTTTCTCATTGAGGTCTCTCCTGTCCCACAATTTGTTTCTGTTTTCACTTTTTATCAGCCCATTTCCTGATCTTCCCTAAGCCTGTTAAGCAACTTGAGTGACTCAACTTGAACTCCTTGTTTTTCTGAGCCTTCCAGCAGACTTTCCTATGAGTCCCCAACTCTGAACCCAGCAGGACGATACTCTCATCCCGCAGCTACTTGACTGCAGCCTGAGAGGCTCTCAAAGCTGGGCATGTTGATGGCACTTACAAATGTGTGGTTTTCGATGTCAGTTGAGCTCAGTGCTAACAAATAGTCATTTTACTTATCTTTGTCCATGGCCTGTTTTCTCTCAGTGATTATTTTAGACCTTTACCATTTTTCACAAGTTCCTTACCCAAGCCCATCTCCCTGCTCACATTAACATCTTGCCCCACATTTCACTGAAAAACTCTGTGACTGTCAAGTACAAACTTCTACTTTCCACACATCACTGCTGGCATTTATTTTTATTTGCACCCGCTGTCTCAATTTCCCTTCCAGAAGTCTGGGAATTATCTTAAACCACTAATTATCCCTTATGTTTACATCCAAAGAGCAAAGTCTTACAGATTCTACAATTAATCATCTTTCAGATGCATTTCCTCCCCTCAAGGCTCCTTGCCACCCTCTCCATTCAGGCCTTCTTCTGCTGTCTCCTGGACTTGTGCAGTGGTCTCTTAATGAATCTCCCTGACTCTAGTCTCCCTCCATTCCAATTCATCCTCTACTGTGCTCCAGAGCACGTAACACTCTAAAATGCATTAAACTTTCATGACTTCTTGTGCTGTATGGGATAGTGTTCTTCTGTGTGATGAAGCTCCCCTTTCCTCTCTTCATGTCCCTGACTCTGTTAATAAAACAGAATATTGGTTGGGGGGCTTCTGTCTTCTTTTTCTCTTCTTCTTTCACTCACTTCTCCACATGAGCAAGGAAGAAATGTATCTGAATAATGAGGGCTCCAGAACTCTAGTGGATTTGTCTGTCCTCAGGTCACATGAAGTCAAGTCTTATCTCCTCCAAGCGTAAACTCAGTAGGTCATGTCTGGCTCCTGTAGAATGGAGCTCTGAAGCTCCTGCTGATGCGCTTATAACTGGTTGGGTAAATTCAATTTGGAGGTAAATGCATAGGATCGTGGATCCCAGTTGCAATCTCATCTAGCTTCATCAACAGTAAAGCTAATAATTGAGGTCTTTCTGACTTCTGTGTCTGTTAATGCATCACTTCAGAATCTGAACAAGGGGTGAGGTGATTAATTAGCATTTACAAATCCATTCATAATAGATCCTCCATCATCTGGATCCTGTTTATAATCTTTACCATACTTCTCTGAAACCTTGCTTTCTCATTTTTGAAATGAAGATAATATTATGCTCCTCACAGGTTTGTTAGGAACCTTTTCATGAGGTAAGATTATATGCACCTTTCAACACCACTACCCTGACCTCTGACCACCAAGAAGACTGTGGTCCACTCATCCTAAATTACTTACAGTTTTTGGGCAATGCAATTTCATTTGTCTGGATATCTTGCAAAGCCTTTGTCACTCTGATTCTCCATTCTACTCATTCTTTAACATCTGTTTAAGTGCCATCATCTCTGTGAAGTCTTCTCTGATTAGCCCCAAGTAGACATGATACTTTCCTCCATAGTGTCCCCAAAGTTCTTATACTTTATAGCAGTTTCCACATCTTATTGAAATTATTAGACCATGTCTATTTGTAGTGCTGAACTATTTTTTATTCATCAATGTATTACTTGCACCTATCGCATTGTCTGCCACTCAAGGCTGCTAAAAACTTTTTAATGAATGCAATAGTAAACAAATGAAGAAATAAGGACTAAAAAAATTAATGCCTACAATGAGCCAAACTTTATGCTGAGTAACCTGAGTAATTACAAAGAAGCTAATATGTCTAACTGTAGAGAAAAAATTACTCTGCTTGAAACAGCAGGTTATGTTAGCATATCAAGCAGAGTGCTTGAGTATTCTAGAGTTGAACAGTTCTCAAAGCATAGCCATACTTGATAATTCAGCAAGGCAGAGGGGCCTGAGAATACTGAGGGTCTTGCTGCCTAATCTCTGCTCATCATTCCTTAGAACTAAGTACCACTTGAGATTAGAAATCATGATGTCCGTCACCACAGGGACCTGTTTCCACTCAGTTTCCAAAGGTGGGCCTAATACACTACGAGAGACTAGACGATGAGCAAATCCAGCCCTCTTCGTAGAACTTGACACCTTGATCCTGGATAATGGTCCATTATAGCTGCCTCCAAGGGCAACTCTGCATTTGTTCTATGACCTCTGGCTTCCATATTCTCTAGGTGCTTACTGTGAAGTGAAGGAATCAAAATTGCCTGCTGTCCCCACAAACCATACTTGGAGACAAAGCATTGCCTGGTCTTCTAAGAGATGGCCCCATTCTTGGCATCTGAGTTTCCTTGTAGGAACTATCTCCACTGTTTACATAATGAAGGGACTAATGCAGAGATGGCTGGAGCTGGGATTATAGCAGAGCCAAGTTATGACAGATTTTTTGTTTTGTTTTGTTTTTGTTTCTCTGAGCATCTTTTTGCCATTTCCGGCCACCTCCCTTCCTCTGGAAACATGCTGAATTCAGCAAGTCCAGCTCTATTAGTTCTGCCTTCTGAATCCATTGGTACTTGGTCATCTGAGAGCACTTCTGTTGCATACAGGAGCTGCTGCTGTCTCCCTCCAGGCACATTTGCAGCCAAAGCTGAATATTGCTACACTGGGGTCTCCTTCTAGCCTTAAATTTCAGTTCATTAACTTCAGCTGCCCACGACATGGCTCTGCTACTCTCCTTGATCCTTGGTGAGTATCTCTGCTCCTTTTGGCTTAGACTCGAGAGTTTTCTAGGATTTTGACCAGGTGAATCTTCCACTTACCTAGCCTGCACAGATCCCGCATCTTCCAAGGACAGCTTCTCTCTGCTCTCTTTCTTTCTTCACATCTAGCAACTCTTCCAAACCCAAAGGAAGCCACTTAATCCACACCCAATTTATAATCCACTTTGATTGCCAGATTTTTAAAATCTATTCCCCTTATATTTGCAATGACTAATTTATGGACATTTTTTTTCCATTTCCCTTTTTACGTAAATTTTCCTAAATGTACTATTTATGAGGAGACAAACAGGTAGAGCAAGGAAAGGAAGATAAGCTGCAAGACAAACTCCTTTCATTGATCATATTACATGGTTTCCTTTCAAAAGTTTTCCACATCATGCTTCTCTAATTTCTCCCAGCTTTTAAAGTCTAGGGTAATCTAGAGTAAATGGGGATTTGGGAGCTAAAGACACCTGGGTTTCAATCTTGGCTCTTTAATTTCTTATCTGTCCGAATATATCCGTTACCATACCTCTCTGAAACCTCGCTTTCTCATTTATAAAATGAAGTAATATTATGTTCCTCACAGGTTTGCTTGGAAACTTTTCATGAGATAACTAATTTAAGACATTTAACAATGCAATGCTTGTTAGATCCCTCCTCTAATCAATCTCATCCATTTTCACTGTCTTGATGAAGTCCTAGTCTCTCTATCTCTTTCTGTCTTACACACAAACATAATTGGGCATGTATGTGCTCTGTGTAAGGCGATGGCCTTATCTTAAACATCAGTATAGCTCACAACACCTAATAGCCAGTTCTGCACATTGTAAATGTACTACTGAATCCCCTCAGCTCAGTCCCAGCTCCTTCATGAAGCATTGCTGGTCTGTGTCACCCCCAATTTTCCCCCTCCCTACAGAGAAGGGCTTTCAAGTCACCTACTAGCTATATTAATTTCACACCACACATATCAGACTTGGCACATTCAGTTTCCTTTGTACGGAAATATGTTTTGTGTTCATTGTTAGACATGTAGAGTGTTATGCAATGGTTCATGTAAGTATAACTTTGGGTTTTAGGCAGCTGCAAACCAGATCTCACTGAGTCTGGGTGTGGACACATCTGGAAGAGAAAGGGCATAGGGCTATTGAGGAATTCCTTGGAAACCAAGAAAAGAAAGTATTCCAGGACAAGCTACTGAAATAATTGGATCTGCCTTAAAAACTGTAGACTGGAAGTCCAAAGATAGTAAGTTCCTTCAGAAGAATCTTTTAAGATAAGGGGGAAGTTCTGCAGTTGAAAATACCTAGCCTTCAGGGAATATTTGGAAGTCATAAGGCTCAGGACTCTACAATGTTAGGAGAGAGCCTTATGGATAGAAGAGTCCAACCCCAGGAGATACTCCAGGGAGAAACTCCAATGTATCGAACATGTGCGGATGCATAAATCTAGAGATTTGGAACTGAGTGTAGGGTTGTTTTCTGACCTACAGGTCTAAATCTGGGGTCTGCAAACTAGCCCATTTTAAAATGATTGAAAAAATTCAGAGGAAGAATAGTGTTTTGTAACACATAAAATTAGGTGAAATCAAGGTGTACTGGAATACAGTCATGCCGATTTGTTTACATATTGCCCATGGCTGTTTTTAAACTACAAAGGCAGAGATGAGTAGTTGCAACAGAGACCATATGGTCAGCAAAGCCTAAAATATTTACTTTTACAATTTTTTTCTGTTAAAAAAAATTACCAACCCTGGACTAAATACAGTGCCAGTGAACACAGGCCAATCCCACCACTTTTCCCTACTCTCTGCACTGCCCTCACTGCATCTTTACCTTCTCCCACCAGTGCGTCTTTCCAGTGGCCTCCAGCACTCTTTCCTGTTGATCCAGAGGCTGCTTCACCACACTCTAACTACAAACAGTAATAACCAATCAATATAGTTGACTGGAATAGAAATCCAAATCTAGGCATACCTGGTACAGAGCTGCCATCATATGCCCAGGGAGAAGGACGGGGTCAGTTAGCTGTGGTAGAATTAGTCTCTGTAGTTTCAAGCCAATGTCTACATATCATTTGAGGTTGGCCATCTCAGAAGAAGGTCCCAGCAAGGCTGACCTGTATGCACCACTCCAACAGTCCCACAAGGTTTGGCAAGGGCCTTCCAGAAAGTTGTGTTCAACAAAGCCTTAGAAATTGACTACATGACCTCACTCACTTCCTTCTTTTTCCCCCCAGCCGTTTGCACTGGACCTGGCCTCTTAGGTAAGATTTTTTGGGATTCCTGAGGGGGAGGCCTTCAAGCTCAGAAAAGTGGAAATTTTGAAGCTACCTGGACCATGGGGAAATTCAAAACAGGTCCAGTAGTCTTCCTTTCTGACTTCCTACCCCACTCACACAGTCTTGTCTGGATAGATTTCTTATCTCCAGAACTTATAAGGAATTAGGATGGTTTATCCTGCAACGAGAAGTCCCTGGGTGGTGCAAATGGTTTACACTTGTCTACTTGTCTACATGCAAGAAAGGCTTGGTGAACTGCTTCCGTAAAGATTATAGCCAAGGAAACTCTATGGAGCAGTTCTACTCTAGGGTTATTATCAGTTGGAATTGACTTGATTGCTTTTGTTTTATTCTGCAAGGGGTCTCCTGTCCACTTGGCCTCCATGGCCCAAGATGTTTGGCCAACATCCAAGCAGCATATGACTTTCAGATCAAGTAGGGGCAGTTCTACTCCATCCTATAGGGTTGCTATGAGTCAGAATCGATCAAACAGAACACAACAACAACAACAACCACACACACACACACACACACACACACACAGGCACCTCACTACCTTGTGGCCATGTCTGGGAAATGAACTTCCTTTTGCCCCACTGGGTACCAATACATCCAGGTCTCCCTACCAGCCTTAATGTAACCTTTGTTTAAACTAGAAATCCATCTGCCTCTGTGCAGCCCATGGCTGGACCAACAGAGTGCAGCTGGATGTCAGCCTGCATTGGCCACCTCTGCAAAGAGACTTTGGGCAATGCCCAGACTGCACAACCAAGCAGAGGCTGGGCTGCACAAAGAGAATGAGTCTATGGAAGAGTAAGGTTATGATGGTACAAACTCAAGGGGGTTGTTTGTAGAGTATCGGTTTTTTAACATTGTCCCTGCAGTCTATCCTTTCTCTTGAGATTAGAGACTTTACTAGAGAGAGGAAGCTACAAACTCTGCTGAGTGTGGAATCTCCTGCACCCTCCTGGATGCAAGTTGATTTCTTAATGAGCACTGCTGTTGGGTTCTCAGTCCAACTCTCAGATTACTTGGTCTTTTTATTCTGGCCTCCAGGGCTGTTCCTTGGTGCTGGTATTTGGAGACAACTGCTCTCTTTACAACCTCCCCATACCCTAGGATGTTTTTCTTCTGACTGTGGCTCCATTTCTAAAGTCTTTTGATACTAAAGGCTGCTAACAGCACTGCCTAGGACACAGCTTCCCTGATGACCCCTTCTACTCTTCTGTAGCTTTAAAATCATTACTCAGCCCTTCTCTCTCCCCTCAAGTTGGATTTCTTTTATATTTATTGTCTTTCTTTTTTCTTTTTTTTTATACTACATATTTCTTCTTTCCCATGGGTTCTTCTAGTATTCCATTCCACAGAAAACGAAAACTCATTAAAAGGGAGTTTATTTTAAAACTAGAATTTTATTATCCAAAATCAAATATAATAACCTGCCTGTGACCTTGATAGCTAATCTTTCCTGGAGTAAATAATAACACCAATGTAAACTCATGTCTTAGTTACAATGAACTATACTGACTCAAAAGTTATTTCTGGGTGACTCCTCAAGAACTATATTTGTACGCAAATGTATAAACCTTAAACACAGGTGTGTAAAAGTGGTAACTTCCTTAGTTTTTCTATTACTAAATTTAATTTCAAGCCTTCATTCTACGTATTGAAAAAGAAAAAGGAATAAAAAGAAACAAAAAACAAATGAACAAACCAAATATAAGCTTTTCAGTGCAGTTTAATATCAGCCAGATCAATGTTTTCTCATTCAGCCACTTCTGGGGTTGATTCCAGGTTCTGGGAAGTTTATACAGCACTGAGACAAGGCAGGCAGTAGGAAATATGGTCATATTCCATCCATATAGGCAGGTGGGTAATCCCATATGGTCCTTGTTGGCATCTGTTAAGCTGCTCATATCTCATTAGGTCACAGACCACTAGCCCAAACGTGATCCCTCTAGGTACCAGACCTCTCTCAGCTAAATGTCCTGCTGGCTAACTTTCCCACTCCTTGGAGCGTGAAAAATTCCTGTCTTCTCCTGTATCACTCTGGGGCTGCAGGAGACTTGGTGGGATTACCTCAGCCCACTAACTAAATATAAGCTCCTTGAGGGCAGCAATGTTATTGATATGATTCATTACTCTTCTCAAAGTTCATAAAATAATACCTCTAACATCGTATACACTCAACGAATGTTGCCTGAGGGGATTTTGTTCCCTGTTGTCCCCTACTCTACTTCTATGCCTTGATGGAAGGGAGAGGTTTCTGTTAGTCTTTTGCTCCCCTATGTTCTAGTCAAGACACAGAATCAAACATGGATTCCTCAAAACTCATGTAAAGGTTCTATGGAGCCTCTCTCCTACCCCAACCCCACCCTTGGTGACCCCCTAGACTAGGAATTGGGGCTCTGAGACTCTGAGGCTCTGACTCTTCCCTTGCCTGGTGCTCTCTGTATTTCTTCTGAGCTAGATGCTTGGGCATGGGAAAATGTCACAGGAAGTAACAAGGATGATGTGGGTCACAGATAATGGGAAAGAGAGAGACAGGTTGTTCAGCTTAAACCAAAAAACAACAACAAAAACCTGTTGCCATCAAGTCAATTCCAACTCATAGAGACTCTATAGGACAGAGTAGAATTGCCCCAGTGGGTTTTCAAGGGTGTAATTTTTATGGAAGCAATCTGCCACATCTTTCTCCTTTGAAATGGCCAGTGGATTTGAACCGCCCACCTTTTGGTAAGCAGCTGAGCTCTTTAACACTGCACCACTAGGGCTCCTTTGTTCAGTTTAGGAGCCCAAACTGTACAGAGAACCCTCAGTCCCTCCTCCATCTGACATCGTCTATGGGGAGAGACAGAGTCATGAACAAGAAACATCACACAGTAATCTTTGCTAGACTTGCATGCTCGCCTAGGGCTTCCACTAATTTACAGTATGACCATAGGATCTTCACTACTTTGAGGATTGTTTTCCTTACCTGTGAAATAGTGGGATTGGGCTTTATAGTCTCTATAGACCCTTCTGGTTCTGACCACCAGAGATTCTGAGAATTCTGCTACATCTTTAACCAATATCCTTCCTTTAATCTTCAAACTGAAAATCACACAGTCATATCTAGGTGTCTGTAGGTGGAGTTTCTTGGTAGGGTACAATTAAGGGTGTAGCAGAATCAGAACTCAGAGATGGGATCCTGCAGGTCCTCTCTCTCCCCTTCCCTCTGTCTTCTCCTTCCCCTTCTCCAACTTTTCATGCCCTCTGTGAATGGTGGTAGCTGTCCCAAGCTGACTGACGACACTCCTGAGTACCCTTTAGGCTCCCCCTAGGTCTCCAGCTAATAACACATCTACTTGCAGAGTCTTCACACACAGTGCGACTGGTGAGAGGCCCCCACTCCTGTGAAGGGCAAGTGGAGGTGAAGCACAGGGGTCATTGGTACACTGTATGTGATTACGGCTGGGACTTGAAGGATGTCTCTGTGGTGTGCCAGGAGCTGGACTGTGGAGAAGCCAAGGGAACACTCCCTGGATTGACGCCACGGGCACAAGAGAACCAAGACATCTTCAAGCAACAGTTCAATTGCAATGGTAGGGAAAAGACACTGGCTGAATGTGAGACAGAAGATATTGATGATGGGAGTTGTAGCCACCAACATGTTGCAGGAGCATCATGTGAGAGTGAGTATGGCAGGGCTCAAAGACCATCTGTCAGCTGCCCATATCCCACAAGGCAGCTCTTGGTTGTCTTTACTTCCCACTATGGACTTTCACATGGGCTGCAATGGCTAATTGGTCCCTTGTCCTTCATATCTCACACTTTCTCAGACCTAGAGATAAACATTATCCTCACGTAGAACTGTTACTCCTACTTGCTTGAGCTGATGCTTTCCTCTAAGTCACAGTATATATGAGGACCTGTTTCTCTTCTAAATACACACACAAACGCACATGCACAGAGTCTCCTGCAATCACTAAGTATATACTGAATAGTGTACCATGTATCTGGAGCTGAAGGTGGAGTTATGGAGGAAGAAATGAGCTCACAAAGTGTAATGTATGCTTATTCTACAGTTTCAACTCTCAAGGAGTCCACCAGCTAGTCAAGTAGGCAGGAGGTACTCACAGGAAACCAACACTCTCTCACATATTTTTCCTTATTCCTTTACTCTCCTGTATATATTTTGCTTTCTATGTATAAATAATTTCTCTCCTCTTTGTGTATAATACTTTTCCCCATTAGACTTCATTCGGCTAAAAGTCTAGGCCATGTCTTCTCTTTCTTTGTCTCCCCATGAGTTTGTTACCAGGGAATCAGTCACTGAATCTTTGTGACCTGATGCTGAGGCTTCTTTCCTATTTTTTAGAAATATTGACGATTGGGAGCACTAATCAGGGATAGTTGGGTGATGGTGCCAACACTGACAGCAAAAGGCTTTAGACTTGGGCACATCACTTTACTTCTCTGTATGTGATGTTGCTCTTTGTTTTTTATTTTATTTCTTTAGTCTACACAGTATTTCTACCTATCTTTTGTGAAGAGCAAATGAGAAGTTGAATGTGAAAATAATTTGAAAAGATGAAAATGCCTTAGAAATGAGTAATGGTTCAGCTCAGAACTGACTGATTGATTCATTCATCTATTCATTCAGTAAGCATCTGTAAGCAGTTATTAGGTGCTAAGCACTCCAGTATACACTGTACTAAACACCAAGAGCATAGAGATGTGTACATTGACTCCCTTTTCCCAACAAGACTGTGTTCTTGCAGGGAACAGACACTTTCTCTTTCTCTTTCCCAATCCCAGACACTGTGCAGCTAGCTGATGGCCCTGGACGCTGCACAGGACGAGTAGAGGTGAAACATCAGGACCAGTGGGGCACCGTGTGCAAAGCAGGCTGGAACCTCCAGGCCGCCAAGGTGGTATGCCGGCAGCTGGGATGTGGGCGGGCCATACTGACCCGAGGACACTGTGATGACGCTACCCAGGGCCAAGGACCCATCTGGCTGAGCCAGGTGTCATGCTCAGGAACAGAAATGACCATTCAGGATTGCTCTTTCAGGAACTGGGGGGAGAACAACTGCACCCATGACGAAGACACTTGGGTCCAGTGTGAAGGTAATGCCCACAAGTTCAGAGGCTAAGTTTATTCATGAACTTATTAAGTGGAATTTTATTCATTCATTATTTACAGAGAGTTGTAAATACACATGGTAAAGTTACTTAATTGTGCTTATCCTCAATGTTTGGGTCTATAAAATGGGCTAATAATACACGCCTTTGTATATAAAAATGATTTAAACAAAGAAACAAAAACTAAACCTGTTGCCGTTGATTCCAACTCATAGTCACTATAGTGACTCATGGTGACCCTATTAATATATTAAACAATATTAATCCCTATATTAATATGACATATTATTATATTAAATTCTGTATAAGCATTCTGAGCCTTATTCCTCAATTCTCTGTAGCTCATTTATTTCATACTGGCCTGGCTTCTTTCTTCCACTCAACAAGCTTTTGAATTGATAATTGCCTCCTCTGCACTTTGCTCCCAAACGGTGTATCTAAAAACTGAAATGTATCTTTTTTTTTCCATAAATGATCCCATTACAACAATGGCTTCAGTGGGTAAAAAAAACCTAGTTCTTCTAGATTCTGCCTCTTGCTGATGGGTGAGCACAAACTTCACTGGGAGATGGACAGTGACCATCAAAATATCTGCTGTAGCTTATACAAAGCGATTAAAAAAATTTATACTGTGCAGTAGGTGAAAGTTTACAGAGCAAATTAGTTTTCCATTTGATGTTGTTGTTAGGTGCCATCGAATCAGTAGAGTTGGTTCCAACTCATAGCAACTCTATGTACGACAGAACAAAACACTGCCCTGTTCTTCACTATCTTCACGATCGTTATGCTTAAGTCCATTGTTGCAGCCGCTATGTCAATCCATCTCCTTGAGGGTCTTCCTCTTTTTTGCTGACCTTCTCCTTTACTAAGCATGATGTCCTTCTCTAGAGACTGGTCCCTCCTGATAACATGTCCAAAGTATGTGAGACGACGTCTCGCCATCCTTGCTTCTAAGGAGCATTCTGGTCCTACTTCTTCCAAGACAGATTTGTTTGTTACTCTGGCAGTCCATGGTACATTCAATGTCGTTTGCCAACACCATAATTCAGAGGCATCAATTCTTCTTTGGTCTTCCTTATTCAATGTCCAGCTTTCTCATGCATATGAGGCGATTGAAAATACTATGGCTTGGGTCAGGCCCACCTTAGTCCTCAAAGTGACATCTTTGTTTTTCAACACTTAAGGAGGCCTTTTGCAGCAGGTTTGCCCAACGCAATACGTCATTTGATTTCTTGACTGCTGCTTCCAGGCTGCTTACGTGTTAATATAGAAAACAGAGCACGCAAGGGCCACAGTCAGGGCTACTTCTTAGACATAACCAAACATGTTGTGGGATAAAGTTCCTAGGCTCGAAGGCTAGAATTCTGTTGATAATTTTTGCATCTGTTTTCATGAGGGATATTTTGTAATTTTCTTTTTTGGGGTTTCTTTGCCCGGCTTTGATATCAGGGTTATGCCGGCTTCATAGAATGAATTCAGGAATATTCCTTCCTTTTCTATACTCCGAAATAGTTTGAGTAGTATTGGTGTGAGCGCTTCTCAGAATGTTTGGTAGAATTCTCCAGTGAAGCCGCTCGGGCCAGGGCTTTTACATGTTGTGAGTTTTTTTTGTTGTTTTTTTTTAATCTCTTCAATCTCTTCTTTAGTTATGGGTCTGTTCAGTTTTTCTACGTCAGTTTTTTTTTTTTTTTTTTAAGTTTAGGTAGGTAGTGTGTTTCTAGAAATTTGTCCATTTCCTCTAGGTTTTCAAATTGGTTGAAGTACAATTTTTCATGGTTTTCGGTTATGATCTTTTTTATTTCAGTTGGTTCTGTTGTATTGTCACCCATATCATTTCTTATTCATGTTATTTTCTTCCTCTCCTGCTTTTCTTTAGTCAGTTGGGCCAATTGTTTGTCAATTTTGTTGATCCTTTCAAAGAACCAACTTCTGGTCTTACTGATTCTTTCTATTGTTTTTCTGTTCTCTACTTCATTTATAATGGAATTTTGATGTGCGCTTTTTAGCCAAACAGATTGTTGTTAGGTGCCATTGAGTCAGTTCCAACTCACAGCAACCCTATGTACAATAGAACAAAATGTTTCCTGGTCCTGCACCATCCTCACAGTCATTGCTGTGTTACAGCCCATTGTTGCAGCTGCTGTGTCAATCCCTCTCTTTAAGCGTCCTCCTCTTTTTCAACGACCCTTTACTTTACCAAGCATGATGTCCTTCTCAAGGGATACTAAACAGACAGGGGCTAGCAATCTACAATAAAAACATATTTAAAAATCTGATTTAAATTTCTTTCGAAATTTCTGGTGGCTTAGAGTATCTGTTTGGAGCTCTACCAAATCATGAAGCCACCCAGAATTAATTCTTTAACTAAGAGCCGACCTTAAATTTCTATTTTGATTAGGTCTTTTCTCAAAACAAAAAAATATTGCACAAAGTCTTAGATATCTAAAGAATTGACTGCCAAAGTGTTAGATGAAATAGAGGAAGCAATGGAGTCAGAACCAGAGGGGCATCTAAGAATTCAGCCATAGTATTGACTAATATTTTGGCTTGAGTAAGGGCAAACATACTGGGATCTTAACATTAAGCTTCTGGAGAGAGAGAAAATAGGCAGCATTAGGGAGGATGGAGAGTCCCTAGATGCTGCAAATGGTTAATGCGCTCCGCTGATAACCGGAAGTTTGGCAGTTCAAGTCCCACCAGAAGCACCTTGAAAGAAAGGCCTGGTCATCTACTTCTCAAAAATCGGTCATTGAAAATTCTATGATACACAGTTCTGGTCTGACACACATGAGGTTGTCATGAGTCAGAATAGACTCAATGGCAACCTGTTACTGGCTAGAGGGGATGAACATGGAGTTGAGAATTTAATCCTGCCTTACTGCTGCCTCTCCTTTTCCAAGGGGCTGGCAGCAATCCAACTTCAGGTTCAGGAAAACAGAGGTAAATTGTGACTGACCAGGCTGACCTCAACATCAATAGAGGGTATGGCCATGGCATCAGGAGTCTCTGAACAATATTGATACCTATTATAAAGACAGTGGTAGAGCCATGCCTCAGAGATGCCCCCCCTGGTTGATTGCAGTCCTTGGTTAGCATCATAGGTTCTGGGAAACAGAATCCATCCCCTACGAAGAGATGAGGAGCACGGGCTCATCAAAGACAAGAATATAAACCTAGAACATGAGCAAAACCCCAGGCAGATGGTCTGAATATATACTGCCCTTGATGGGGATAAACAGGCTGTTTCTGGGAGGATGTTCATGTATTCCAGGAGCCGCATCAAGAGACTATGGACACCAGAATTTTAGCAGTCAACTGTTTTTAAACTCTACTCGCTGATGGGGATGGGACTCCCATTCATTATGTAGCCAGTTTTGGCTCCATTGGCTCAGGCTGGAAGAACTGAAACTGTGATGGTAGATATTCCACATCTTCACCTGGGCAGAGCTGGGTTCAGAGGAATAGACAGGCTGAATCAGTCAGTCTGTGTTGCCTCTGCTTTAACTCTTTCTTGCGCTTTCAGAAGAGTTGTTAGAAAAGACATTAAATATGGATCAGTCAAATAATTTCATGTACCTGTGAAGTTCTTCGATTTTTAAAACCTACTAGAAAATCATCTACACATGTTATATTTATAAAATAGATGGAGGACTGAAAAGATACTTATTAAGGAAAGGGACCTGGGCCACATGGGTTGGAACCTGATGGAGACCTAGAGGAGGGGCTTAACCACAGAAACATATGTGGAGAGTTTCACATGTAATGATGTGTCTGAGTGAGGATGTAGATGATTTTTTTTCCTTTCTCTGACTCTCTCCAACCCTTGACTTCCTCTTCCACCCCACAGATCCCTTTGAACTGAAGTTGGAGGGAGGAGACAGCCCCTGCCTTGGGCGACTGGTGGTGCTGCACAAAGGTGTATGGGGCTCTGTCTGTGATGATGGTTGGGGAGAAAAGGAAGAACAGGTGGTATGCAAGGAACTGGGCTGTGGGGATCCCCACCCTCTGCGCCACAGACTCCAGAAAGACTTTGGCCTGGGGGTTGGCCGCATCTGGCTAGATGACGTCCGTTGCTCAGGGAGTGAGCAGTCTCTGGAGAAGTGCCGGCACAGGTTCTGGGGGTATCATGACTGCACCCACAAGGAAGATGTGGCTGTGATCTGCTCAGGTAATTCCTGCAGCTGGAGTCCATGAAGACTGGCCTGGTGGGGAGTGCAGAGCAGGAGTGGGAGTGGGGACTCTTTGGACACATCCATGAGAAAATTTTAACAGAGAGCCTGAATTACCAGCCCTGAACTGTAGACCTCTTTGGGGAAGTGGAAGAAGAATCCCTGACCCAACCTGGCCTAGGAAATACAAATGCAGCCCTTGGGTGGCTGACTCAGGAGACTCACTGGTCAGAAGATCAGTTTTATAATCAGGATGAGAGCTGACTGTACAGAGCTACTTGGCTCTGGGATGAAGGAAGACCTGATAGTTGACCAAGGAATGTGAGGAGCAGCTTAGTGCCCAGAAAATGAAGGATTTGGTGACACAAGACTAGGGTTTGAGCCCTGCTCAACTACTTTGAAGCTATGTGATTTTAGATAGTCATTTAACTGCTCTGAATCTGGTGTTTTCATGTGTAAAATAGGGAAATGCTTGCCCCATTTATCTCAGCAAGTTTTATGATTGTGGAGGATAAAACGTGTTAATATATGTGAATATTGTCTGTGACTCACATGGGAGCTGGTTGGGTAAATCCCTGGGATACTGTACCAGATTGTGACTTGGCCCCACATCAGTGTGTGTCTTAGGCCCTAGGAAGGTCTCATCTTTTTTCTTAGCCTTTTTGAGCTTGAGTGAAACAATGCCTTCATGACCTGTTGCCACCCTTACTGTATATTCTTCTTCTCTTTACAGGGCAGTAGCCTGGCCTTCTCGATGCTTCATCTGGCTCCCACTGGCCCCAGAATGACCCTACTTGTCTCATGGGCCCAGATTATTCCACTGCTCATGCTGGGCCTGCAGACTTTAGCCGCCATCCCTCATCCCCTAAGCAGTAGTCTGAACACTGTGCTTAACCTTGTTCTCTGAGCCAAGCACCTCTATCCTTGCCTGGTGATATGAATTATGAGAGAAGAAATGGAAACTTCTTGCAGTGGAAGATGAGCTTCCAGTTGTCCTATCCTCACCACTGACCCCTTGGCATTGGTTTTTTAGCCTTTCCTGCCTCTTCCCAACCTGCCTGGGACTCCCAGGCCTATCATTTTGACCAGATGTGCAAGCCATTACTAAGGCAAGATCTATGTGTGTAAACAAGATAAAAGGAATAAAACAATAAGAACATTTGAAAGGAAATGTTGGCGGACAATTTCACAGAAGTTGGGGGAAATCTTAGAATCATCATATACTCTTTTATCAAGTCTTGGGTGATCACAATTAATAATACTTCCCTACTATCTTATTCCTTGGTGAGAGTAGAACATTTTTTTAGGGGCAGAGTCCTCTAATCCAAGACCTGATCTTTTTCATGACACTTGGAAAAAGATATTGGATACTCTGATGCCCTGAAAAATACCTTTTTTGTCCATCCCTATACTAGCTGCCAACATGGTTGGCCTTTAACAAGAAGAATCTTACAAATGCATTAATTTTATCTAAGGAAAAATATATTGGATACAGAGCTACCACTGGGAGAAGGGCAAGAAAAAGGCAGAAGGAGGTTGGGATGTCCAGAGTTGTGTATCATGTCAATCAGAAAATATAATTTTCATTTTATCAACCGAGGCTTTGGTATCTGCTGATCTGAGGCATAACATCATGATACTAAAATGACAATCAAGACTTGATTGTAAAAATAGACAATCTTAGACTCTGAGGTGAAGCGTAGTACTTATAACATGCCTACATTTACACTGTCTAATAAATTAGATCACAATCTCCGTAGCTGCCTGTCTGTGTGATATGCTCTTTTTGCCCAGGAGGAAGCAGGTGTGGCAGCTTCTCAGCAATGGCCTTTTAGGCAGGATTGAGTAGAAGAGAACTCACCAGCAGATACAACCATAAGCGTGATATAGCTCTCTCCTCTGGGCGTGGAGCTCTCTCCCTGTCTATTTCCTGCTCCAGCCTGTGAATCTGAAGTTCAATTCTGCATCTCCTGTTGTTCAGATCGACATATGTCTAATAATCCAACTCTTATGTCATGCCTTTCTAACCTTATACATATATATATATACGTATATATATATATATACGTATATATATATATATTTTTTGCTTTTCTTCTAACCAATAACTTTATGTTTCTAACCCAAACCCGCACTGGTCTCTGGACCCTGACTCTGGTTAATTTGTTCAGAACAGTACAGCTGTAAAGTCCAGGTCACTAGTGAGAAGACGTGCAGTGAAACCAGATAGTAACAGTGAGGGCAGGACTTACCATTTGCTGGGGATCAGGAGGCTAGTGTTTCCTAAGGTACTCACTCCTTAGTCCTAGAGTCCATAGTCTTTAGTCCTAATGTAATCATTCTTTCAACACTAGGTTTTAGCAGGGGATCCAAAAACACTAAACAGAGAAACAATTTCTGACATTGTAAAGCTGTAATGATGGACTAGTGAGGTCCTCTGAAAAAGGAGTCTACAAGAAAGTGCATAGAACCGATACCATTTGGTGACAAAGACTTGGCCATTCATTGGGTTCAGGGTGTGCCTGTCATCTTTGCTCTGCATTAGTCAGATAAGAAATGAGACAGACCTCTAGCAGAGGGAGCAAGAGTCATCTATGGGATCTCATGGCTATTACACACTGGAATGTATTTCTACCACCTAACCAACTATCTCATTGTAGATGCTCAACAAACATTTGCTGAATGAATATTTAAGAACTAGCTTGGAAATAGGCAGAGAAACTCAGCTTCATATAAGGGGAGAAAATGCTCTAACAGCTGTTTTAGGATCGACCCAGTTTACTGTTCAGTTCTCACAGGTCTTTCTTGTTTTGCCTACAGACTAGCATCCTTTCCTCTCCACCCATGGTACCTGGAATCTAGAGGCATGGTGAACTGCCTTGATGGAGTCATTGAAAAAACTCTTTCCCTTTAGTAGAGTAGAACAAGTTTGGAATTTCACACAAGGAACTTTTTGATTACCCCTTAATTTCTTCCTTAAAATTCCTCTTATAAAATCCCAATCCAGCAAAACCCCTAGAAACCAATCAAATAAAAGTACAGGGTAATTGCCCACTGAAAGCAAGACCTGACAGTAGCCTAACTGATAGTATTAAATCCAGTTGCCACCGAGGCAACTCCAACTCATGGTGACCCCATGTGTGTCAGAGGAGAACTGTGCTCCACAGGGTTTTCAATGCCCCAGTTTTTAGAAGTAGATCACCAGGCCTTTCCTCAGGGTGGACTTGAACCTCCTACCTTTCAGTTAGCTGCCAAGTGCCTTAACTATTTACACCATCGAGAGCCTCCAAATGATAGTATTAGCAGATGCAATAAAAATGTGCCACCAAAGGAGAGACTGTCAGAAAATTGAAAGGCTGTAAGACAAAGTTGACACTGGCCTCTTAGCACTGTCCAGAGAAGAGGGTTCCCTGACCCAAGAATATGGCTGTCTTGTCTTGATGTCCAAAATGGCGGTGGATTTAATAGGGTATCATAGCCTGAAGAGATTAGCATAGAGACAAAGACTTCCAGGCCTCACAGATATTCATGTTCTCCTCTTCTTCCTGGACACATCACTGGTCTACACTTTCTAGCCCTCTTATATATAAATAGCTCCATGTGGCCAGTTCTCACCAGAGTATAAATGTAAGTTGTTTATAATACCTTCACATCAAGACAGTTAACAGTAGCTTGCCCTCTCCATGCTCTCTCTCTCTCCATCTACTTGCTGGCTGGAGGAAGACCCCAAGGACATATGGGAGCACACAGTCAGAAAATGGAAAGAGCCTGGGTCTCTGAATGACTAGGTGGAGCCAGAGTCTCCCACTCGTACTCTGCCAACTGTGACATGGATAAGAAATAAATGTTATTTATATGAAGCCACTGAGATGTCAGAGTTGTTTATTTACAGCAGTTAGCTCACCTTCACTGATACAAACGTTAAGATTAAAATAAATAAATAAATAAATTGCACTGATTTGAATCTCACCCAACAAGCTTCTTATGGTCATCTGGCTTCCCCAAAAGCCTGTAAATATTTTCCCCACGTTAATCAGGAAATGTGAAAACTGGCCCACTCATAATTTTATTTTTACTATACATTAATTAATTTTATTTTTGATATTTATTTTTTATAGTCTCCAAAGCTCTCTTTTTCTATATACTACACCCAACATGTTCATGGAGAGAGTCTTTTGTGTTTTAAACAAAACAATCTTGCCCTCCTGGCCACAGTTGACTGGTACTAAGAATGGACATATGTCTCAAGCTAGATCAATCAGCCCTTCCCAGGAATTGGGCATTGTGACCAAAAGTAGAGTTAGTTTCTCCAAGTAGCTGAATTTATGTTATCCCAGAATCTGTGGCTGGCCTTTTTGTTTTTTACACAGCACATGGAGTGGATATAACAGGATATCATAGCCTGAAGAGATTAGCCTGAAGAGACAGAGACTGCCAGGGCTCAAGACATTCATGTTCTCTTCCTCTTGACTCTGTCCATGGACATGTTGGGTGTAGCGTATAGAATTCACATAGATATTCTGAGACATCCATGCTCAGCACCCTTGACTTCTACATGGTGCTGCTGCATGTCACCATTGAGCATGACCCGGCCAGACAAGAGAAGCACATTGTCAGCATCAAGGAGATCATGGTCCAGGTTGCCAGTGAACACTTGTGAGGGTGTTGGGCCCCTACGGATCCCAAGAAAACCAAGCTCTGGGCCCAGCCCTCTCCCCATCCTGCCCCATGGAGGAGGGCTGGGGATCCACCCTTTGGGGCCAGCCTGATCCTGCACCTTGGGGCTCCCACCCACAAATTAAATGTCGGCATCACTCCTCACCCCCCCCGCCCAGCTTTTAACCTCTGCAGCACCTCCCAGCCCAGGAAAAGCATCCACCCAACCCACTGTCACAGGCACCCAGAGAGGTCCCCATGCCTTACACAGCCTGCCACACACGACAAGGGCACAGACTACACGCTCCTGCATACTGGGTAGCGGCGCCCCACAGACGTGGCCACGTGACCCAGGACACGGGTTGGGGGAGACCCGCAGCAACATGTACACCCTGCAGCTCTGGCACCCAGGGCACAAGGCAGCCAAAAGACACACCTTACACCTTGCGCAACACGCAGCTTGCTGCAAGAACACAGTGTGGGGCAGGACCACTCATAAGAGGGTGTGCTCAGGTGGCTAGGGCCTCTGCCTGTCATCCTCCCATTCCAGCACTCCAGGGGTGGGGGTCTGGGGTGGGAGACTTGTACTGACCAGCCCTGCCTCACCCAGCTGAGGGACCCTCATGGAGACAGCCCCTCCCACCGCTACTTAATCTGGACTTTTAAAATAAAAACAAGCAAAATTTGAGTCTGGAGTTTGTGAGTGTGTGTCTTGAGGAGTGGAGGAGCCAGAACATACACCCAGGGTCCCCCTACCATGACAGCCCTGCTGGGGGCCCCAGGCCTGCCTGCTTACCTCTGGGAGAGCTCCAAAGCATGGGTTGCCCCCGTTTCTCAGATGGGAAAACTGAGGCCCAGACTTGACCAGGCTCACAGAACAACTCAGGGCCACCATCCTCTCCTAACCCTAAAAAAAAAAAAAAAAAAAAAAGGAGGAAGAACAAAGCCCTTTCACAGAGATAACTGAGTAAGAATGAAAGAGATGTGCAGGGAGGAACAGAGATAAGAGACAGAGAGAACCCAGGCAGTATTTTCAGTTTCTGGTTCTTGTCTCTTCCTGGGGTCCAGCTGCATTTCTGGCCTTGGGTTGTGTGAGAAACTGTTGTATTCTTTTTTTTTTTTTATTTTTTATTTTATTGTACTTCAGGTGAAGGCTTACAGAACAAATAGTTCCTCATGAAACAGTAGTACACATGTTGTTTTATGACATTGGTTAACAACCCCACAACATATTAACCCTCTAACCTCTCAACCTTCTCTTTTGGTGAAAATACACATAGCCAAAGATACACCGTTTCCAAAATTTCTACATGCACTGTTCAGTGACATTGACTACGCTCTTCCAATTGTGCTGTTATTCTCACTTAAGAAGAAGGCTTACAGAACAAAATAGTTTCTCATTTAACAGAAACTGTTGTATTCTTATAGTAAATTATTTTTGTTTTTTCTTGAGTTATCTCAAGTTGGCTTTGTACTTCCAACCAAAAAAACTCTAACCAATTCACTCATTTTAAATTAAGTGATAATTCATCCATCTATGGCAAGGTTGGTTAGATAATCCAATATATAAATAATAAATTGACTTTCACTGTATTTATAAAATTGAGTTTATTGGTTTGAAAAGATAAAGAACAGTACCTGTAACAGAAGAACAATCCAAAGACATTACACTTTAGTGGCCCTGGTTGGATGGATGCCCAATCAACCTGTTTTACCCAGATGACATTTATATCTCATGCCCTTCATATTAAAACACAACAATTAAAGATCCAGTGAAGGTGGGTTGCAGAAGGTCAGGAACTCAGAAGTGACAGCTATTCATACTTTCTGTTTGTTTTATTGGAAATGTTCTTCTTCAGCTTTTCCATCTGGTGAACTTTTAATCATTCTTGAAAGCATATTTCTCTCTTCAAATGTAATTTAAATCGGGTTACAACCCTGTTTAAAGCCCTTTGATAGCTTCCCATTGCACACAAGGTAAATGTGAATGTCTTACTTTTCCTAAAAGGCATGATCTGGCCCCCACCT